CAAAAAAAAAAAAAAAAAAAAAAAAGAGAGACCAAAAGGGACACAGGAACTGGGAGAATAGCCCCAAGGTGCTAACTGTTGCAGTCTCTGAGTAGGCAGGAGGACAGATAGTGCTTTAAATTGTCTTTTTTGCTTGTGTGTCATTCACACAGTAGATGTTAGTTGAGCACTCACTGTGTGCCAGGTGCTGTTCTAGGCACTGGAGAGACAGTGGCAAGGCAACAGGCAGGCCTTGTTCTCAGAGGGATTGGTGCAGGGATAAGATAAACAGGCACGTAAGAGAATGTCCGATAGAGGAGTGGGGTCTGCCCCAAATGCTGACTGGTGACATGATAGAGAGTTCCTGGTGGTTTCTGAGGAGGCCATGGGATCTGAGGGACTAGGAGCCAGTCCAGTGACGAGTACAGAAGGATGCTGGGCAGAGGGAATGGCAGGTGGGTAGAGGTCAAGGCAGGAGGGGTTCCAGTCATAAGGAGAGTGACTGGAAAAAATGCAGTATGTGGGTGGCATATAAAGAATTAACCTGGTTCTGAGGCCAAGCCGGCCCTGAGCAGGCAGAAGCCTTGGAGGCCTGGCAGCCAATGATGCTAGACCTGGTGGGGTGGAGGGTGGATGAGGCTAGACTGGGAGAGGTCACAGGGCTGCAGGAGCCTTTGGGACCTCTGTGAAGGCAACAGAGGCCACCAGGTGCCTTCCTTCTTGACAAATACACATGGATATTTTGCTCTTTAAAAAAAAAAGAATTAACCTTCAGGGCTTGCCCTGCCCCCCAGGGCACCCCCAGGGCACCCCCAGGGCCCACGTTAGGGAAGACTTGGCTAATCCTTTGAACTTTGCTGAGGTGAGCCTGTCCTCTGTCTCCGGCTCACTGCCCATCCCCTTAGGGCTGCTCAGGATGGGATGAGGACCCTGGTCAGCCTTGAGACTCACATCAGCTCTCACTCCCAGAAGTCCGTTGGAAGTACCTCCTTCAGTTGCCCACGGAAATCTGCCTCCAAAGCTGCTGTGGGAAGAGTCAGCCATGACCTCCCAGAAGCACTGGCTAGAGGGTGGAGGCGTGCAAACCACTCATTTTTCTCATGGCTGCGGTCTTGCACTTACACAGTGTGAAAATACCTGCTCCTTGATGACCAGCATCTGGAGCTCCCTTTAAGAAAAGTGCTGTTTCACTATTGTGCTTGAAACCGAGTTGATGGAGTCTTGGCTGAGGGGATCCATGGCTCCTTGGGAGATGGTGACAGCCCAGCACTTAGCACCACCACAGCCACCAGCCAGGTCTAAATTAAGCACGAAATCATGGGAATGTAGAGTTTCCCATGCAGCTCTGCATTTTTTTCAGATGTCTCAAGCTGGAAAATTGTACTGATCAAATGGTAATCCATAACTTGGCCTGTCCCATGGGATAGGGGTGAGTGAAGCCATCAGATTCTCCTGTTCTATGGTACCCAGTTTCTGAGTGTACGTGGCATCATCTTTCACCAGTGGGTGTTTCTAATAGCAGAGTTACAGCATGTTAGAGATGGCGAATTTGTGCTTAGGGTCACAAGCTCTGCCTACGTTGGAGGAGGGAAGAGTTTTGAGGGGTGCTCTTCACACTTCCAGAGGCTCGAGGGAAGCCCTACCTTTTGCCCACCATTGAGCCCCACAGGCTAACAGAAGCATCTGCCACTTCACTTGTGGCTGAGCTGTTTAGAAGCTTGGGTTCCCCATGACCCCATGGAGATGGCAGGGAATGTAGCTATTGGTCAGAATGGGGGTCTTTGGGAATAAAAGGTGTGGAGAGAGCATCTGGTTTAACCTCATCATTATAGAAGCAATGACCCTGGTCACTGGCTTCCTTGGTCACAGAGTGGTCACAGTGTTGGCCCTTGGTGCTTGGTTTCCCATCTCCTAATGCTATGTTCTCTCAATCATTATATTGTTTGCTTTTTGGCATTTTTTTTTTTGGTTTGTTTGGTTTTTTGAGTCTCATTCAAAAACCTGTCACCCAGGCTAGAGTGCAGTGGCACGATCGCTACTCACTGCTACCTTAACCTCCTAGGCTTAGGCAATTCTCCCACTTTATCTTCTTGAGTAGCTGGGACTACAGCTGCAGTCTCAAGCCTGGCCAATTTTTTTTTTTTTTTTTTAATTGTAGAGATGAGGTCTCACTATGTTGCCCAGGCTGATCTCAAATGCCTGGGGTCAAATGATCTTCCTGCCTTGGCCTCCCAAAGTGCTGGGATTACAGGTGTGAGCCACCATGCCCGGCCTTAGCATGATTTTTAAAGAATGCAGCCTATGGTTTGGTCATTTGCAACCCTTCTTTGAGAAGTAGAAGAGAGGTGGGGGACCATTAAATAATCCTTGTTTGCCTTTATGGTGTGTTGCTCCATTCCCTTTGTGAATTCATCAAGGTGTTTGATCTTCTGCCCTGGGGTAGAGGCACGGCTCTCCACATCCTGTTTCCTGGATCAGTGGGAACTGTTAGAACCATGTCTCCTGACCCCATCCTTGCTTCACGCAGTCTTTAAAAATGATTGCATTTCACTATCCACCTATGTAATCTGCACCCACAGGCTGCTCTTCCCAGAGAGTGAATGGTTATAGCATGTTGGTAAAGCAAAATGAAATTTCTTGTGTATATTTGTGCACTTGATTTCTGCTTTTAGAAAATTAAGGGCATATAAAGACCTAGGAGGCTGTGGCATTTAATTTGAATTCCCCTTTGCCTGTTCCGATGGCTGTCGGGTCCTGGGAGCTTGTGGGAGGACCTCCTACTTACCTAGACAGCAGCATGGACCTTCTTGGGGTTAGTTCTCCCTACACAGTCAGCCCTCCATGTCACTACCCTGCAGTAGGTTAACTGACATTCCCAGGTTTCCTCCTACCTTAGACGATAGTCCCAGGGAAGACAAGAAGGCACACGGGCAGTTTAACTCTTTCTGCTTAGCCATCTAAAAGTTAAGTCTGAAATGTTTGTTTGCCTTTGAAATTCTCTACTTTCCCCCCCACTTTTGGGATACTGATACAGCATTTTTTCTTTAAAAAAGTTTATTTATTTTAGAGGCAGGGTCTGACTTGCTCAGGCTGGACTTGAACTGCTAGGGCCTCCCTAGTACCTGGGACTACAGGAACATACCACCCCATCCAACTGATATAAAATTGGATTTGACTAACCAACAAGAAGTCATTGGAATATAGATGTCCACTTTCAGTTAGGAAGACAATTCTTTTTTGGCTGAATCTCACTGTTTTTCTAATATGAGAGGAATAAAGAACTTTTTTTTCCTTTTCAGTCTGCCTTCTGCACGCAGGAGTTATTAGGCTTTAAATTATCGCCAGCTTGACCGAGGCAGAGTCATAAATAGTCCTTTCTCTTTGGGCTGGAATGATGACTGTTGAAAAGAACGTGGCACTGTCCATATTGTCTGAACTGGGCTGTTGTCTTCCGGAGAGCCCGTGTGGTTTGGTCATGTGAGCTGTGGTCTCAGCTACCCCACTGGGTCTAATGATGACTGTCCCCTTTTTGTCAGTAGGAAGATGGAGATATTTTCTCACTCATGGACTGCACCGACAGGAGCGATAAAACCAGCGAGTTGAGAATTGCAGAGAGTTTCACGCATTGCATGTGAGTGCGGGCCATAGAGCGGACGCAAAGGCACTCCAGTGTGCCTATGAATCTTCATGGGGACATGTTAGGAATGTGGAACTTCTGCAACTTTGCCTTCAATCATTGATTTTTGAGCAGACTCCCAGGAGGTTCTGATGTATCTGGTTGATTAACCCCACTGCTGAGATAGTACAAGAAAGGTGGGGTGTCCCTACCCCTTCCCAAGCTCTGTCATCTGCTGTCAGAAAAATGAACTGCATATATAGTTAAAGGAGGCTGCCAGACATGTGTAGTTGGAGCTGCTATCAAGGCGAAGATGTTTGGATCTGTTAATTCAGTAATATGTATTGATTGGGACTGGAGTGTCACAGTTTGGGGGGAGTGGGTTGAGAGACCATTTCCTGACACTGATCTTGATCCTCAGTGATAGCAGCTGAAAAGCCACTACCCAAAATCTCCTTAGGGATTTGGTGTAGACCCCGGCTGATAGGTGTCTTCTTGCCACTTGGCCAGCTATGCCTTGGTGGCAGAGGCATGGGGGACAGACACGTGACTCTGCCTCCCATGACTGGGAACTTGATTTGGAAAGAATTTCTCCACCCAGTTCCGCAGGCCCTTGGAGCACATTTTTATGGAATTCTTCTTTCCTCCAGGGGCCTCACCCTAACCTTGTTATTTATTTTTTTCAGCTCTGTGTGCTGTTTTATTTAGTCTCTTTCTGTCAGTCATTTCAATTCTGATTTTATGTTCAAATATGCCAGACTTTCCCCCCAAGCTTGTCCCCTGCACATGTGGGGATCCAGCTGTTACTTTATGACTTCCACCACAGGTTCCTCTGGAAAAAGAGCAGATAATCCCAGATTTTGGTTGAGGGTGCTGCATTGCTGAGTCCCCTGGGAAGGACACAGCCCCTTCTTGGTCAGTCTATGGACACAGGTCACTTGTGGCTGAGGAGAGTCTGGTCGATGTCTCTGTACTCCTACTTGAGGCTCTCTTGGGGGACTTGGGAATGCCCCTGCTCCATCCTTTTGCTACCTTTTTGCATCTGGTCCTCTAAGGTGCTGCATGCACTGGTTTGCAGATACAAGTGTCAAAAGCACATGTTGCTGTAGGTTACAGCTGACTTCTCATAAATCGGGATAAAGGGCTTCCGGCACAGTTGGACCCAGAGATTCAAACCAGGTGCTGTTATATCTTGCACCTTCTCCCCTCCTTGGTTCCTTGCTTTCTTCTGTGGATGTTTTAGTCATAGGTAAACTCTGGCCCTCTCTGTGCTGTCTTTCAGCAGCTTAGCAATTATACTAGTTTCCCAGGGACCATCCAGAGAGGTCTCCAGGTGGCCCAGTCTGGATTATCCCTTATGTAGCCACTGGACTGGGGGACTCTGGGGCCCTGATTGGCCTGGCCTGTGTCCTGGGCCTACTCCTGGCCAGTTCCCCAAGGAAGATTGAGGTATTCTTCTGAAGACAAGGGGATATGGTTGTTGCACAGGCAAAAACCAAGAGATTCCATTTCCAGGATGGAAATTAAATATCTGGCTTAAAGAACCTTCCCTAGTTGTGAGAATTAACTGTAAAAAAGTAAGCCTTCCCTTTCCTACTGAAGATATTGTGATTTTTTTTTTATGTGGAGTCTCTGGAGCTCCCAAGCCCTTTCAAAAGGCTTGCCAAGTTCTGCACTGCCAATAGTGCCACTCCCTAGACCGGCCGACATGTTGAGTTTCTTTGCTATTGGTTGGAATTTCATTGACTCAGTGTGGATAACAGTGGTCATCTCATGTGCACCAGCTACTCTTATTTTTAGTAAAATGAATTTCAAGACAGGCTTTTTGGGGCCAGGGCTGGAGTGGAGTGGTGTGGCAGGGGTGGTGGTGACCAGGACCCTTTGCCTGGTTCTCATCCAGAAAATAAAGTGGCTGCTTGTAGGTCAGCCCAGGCCCTGGTTCAGCCCTTGAATAGTAAATCCCAC